AAAAAAAGGGGGGTGTCGTTCTACTTCGAAGCAGCGTTTTTTGACGTCACAATAGCGACGTTTCTTTTATACTTTTTACTTTCACACAATTATTTTGCAGCTGTGATAAAGGCCTAACATTATTAATAGTCAATAACGGACAGAGAATTATAGGCGGTATATTGCATAATTCTGCCCGCCACAAAAGTCATATTTTGAAAATTTCTTGAAATGTGCTGAATTGAATATATCATATGATATATCTAAACTAACAAAACATATTATAGTTTCAAAGCAGGGTATTGACAATTCTTGTTTTATGACGTCACAAACTATTAGGAAGTTGTATTATTTTTCTGAAAGAGGAACAAATGGAAAGAGTTTGCTCAAATTTTACTTTAGAATTAAAAGACCACAGGCCTGCTCGAGAACAATAGTTACATACTTTATTGATATTATCATTTTACACTTTATATCAAGCTTCATTAAGATATTGAGATGGAACAAACCTGTTCTCGGTGACTTTTACTCAAAATATTGACGTAATAAAAAAATTTATCCCATTGTTTTAGAACACAATTATGTATTTCTCCGTCAAAGTTTAATTTTGGGGCAAATATTGGTTATTACCGATTATAGCCATTTACAAAAAGAAAATTTATACATTATTAACGAGAGTTTATTTTACAGATGAAGTTTGATTTAGTTAAAATTCTCTTCCGTTGGTTGATAACTCCTAGCAATTACAGTTGTGGAGAAAAAATCGCTGATACATGTACATGTATAAGTGCAGACAGATAAAATAAAATTCAACGAAGAAAGCGGCTTAAATCAGAAAAAAATATATTTAATTTCAAGCTTTACATACATTTCCTCGATAAAACTAAGACAAAATTTAAAAATGTATTCTTGTACCTATATTTGCTTAGTAAATTTAATTGTAAAGCCATTCCTTATTGAATAAGTGTTGGTTATTGACGGGACAGGGGTGGGGGTTGGAGTTCAGCCAGGGGTGGGGGTTGGAGTTCAGCCAGGGGTGGGAATTGGAGTTCAGCCAGGGGTGGGGATTGGAGTTCAGAGAAGATAAAATCAGTGTAAGATATTACTAATCAAAACGGAATACAAGTTGTCAAGAACATTTTATATTCACATGTTCAGCAGTGCTTACTTAAAGCAATATGAGCTATGTTTTGAGAATTTTATTTTGTTGTTAAAACATGAAAAAATTATATGTAATTAAAACCTTTATGATCAGTTAGATTTAAAGAAAGTATTAATTGTTTCAGAAATATGATTTCTGTGCAATGAAATGTATAAACGTTACGTGGGATGTTGCTAGCATTTGACGTTCCGTTTTAGTGATCCTACGTTTTTATAACTTTACGGGAAAATTGACGTAACAATTTAACCCTCGTATAACATAGAAGGTAATTTTTCACATTTTTATCTCATTTATTGATACTTTTTTGTTTTATTTTTTATTTACCATTAGAATGTTGCGTACATTCTGTATACATTAGCGACTGGATTCAAGTTTAATCACACGACACAAAGTATAGTCAATTATTCATTCAATATTCTTTAGGAAAACTGCCTGCAAAAGGTGAGATGCAGGTTGAATTAAATTTTATAGTCTTACGATAGGTCAAAGTATTAATTACGTTTTAGGTGGATCTGCGCTCGATGGATCATTTGAAGGAATTTATTCGGTAGATTTGATAAGGATTAAGGTATGGGGATTGTGTGATCTACCACAGGCGAAATTCACAAGCTATGATAGTGAAAGCATTTCAGCAGGTAAGCTTTGCTTCGTTCAATTATAAGTTTGATATCAAGACATTAAAAACGTTATATCGTATTTATTCAGGAATAGGAGTAGGAATCCCCTTTTTACAGGACGCATATCCGCCATGAGTCCTATACATTGATCAACTATGCGGAACATTTAACTAACGATAAAAATAAGCATAGTTATTCAGAATTCCTCTGATGCAAAGTTATGTAACTCTTCATCAGGTATGAAAGTTACTTTAATATTATTTAGGTCATATACATGTATCAAGGCCAATTTAGATAAAAGAATATACATCTACTGAGTCTATAACCGAAACAACTTTGTTGTGATAGTATCTCGCCCGTCCCGAGAATGTATAAAAATCTAAATGCAATTACATTTTCCAAGTTTTCCGCGTTATTATAATTTCTAGAGTTATCTCTAATCATTTTCAGGTTTACTGTGCTGATCTAAAAGGAACTGAATGAATAATATAATTTTCATATTATAGCTGCATGTTCTACAAAGCGTCAAAGTTTTATTAAGGACCCTCTCTACACAAAGTAAAGATATTTTTACACCAATGAAAATTATATGTACATTAAATTGAAACATTTTGAGCTGATTCAAGTCAATCTTAACCTTGGTTGCCTGTTGTTTTTTGTCAAATAATATTAAAATTTGATAATAACTCATAAATCCAAAAAAAAATTTCTCCTTTCAAGAATTCAAAGAAAAACTATATTTGATGAAATGGATATCATTTATTGTTGTATATTTCATTATATATTGTGAACAGATATCAAAAACAAACTTCTATTAAATGTAATAACATTTTTTTTCAATGAGAAAATGTAACAAAATATAAAAAATATCATTTTACACCATCTCATACCAAAATCTATTGGTTTATTTTGTGATGGATATAAAGCTCAATTTATCTCCTTAAAATAAATTGCATGATTGCATGGGGAAGCCTTGCAAATAAGAAAGAAAAAAATTTTTCTTACATACTGATAAAATAAAAACTCACAAGGGGCATAACTCAATTCTTGGCTGAAAAGTAATTTGCAACAGAAATCCAAATTTTCTTACACTTTGAAACACGCACTTTACCGCCAACATTTTCAATGAATAAGTTTCTGATACCATCTTCTTGATGTCTTTGAAAAGCTAGCTCCAAATGTGAAAAATTCAAACCATAGGAGGCAATCTTATTAGCCATAAAATCAGAAATGACCTTTTCATGAACTAATACATGCAAAGACTTGTAATTTTTTTCTTTACATTGTCTATATGAATAAATCTGAAAAACATATTCAGATGATACAATGTGTTTGATGAAAGATTCATCTGTAATGTTATGAAACTATGTAAGTTTCTGTAAGTTTACAGAGTCGTAAAGTGCACAATGAGCCTGACCAGTAAATTGTAATCCAGACTCTCTCATCAGGCTTTCCTGTGAAAAACTACTACTGTGCTTATCTAAAAGATCTCTAAACACTTAAGTTCCACAAAACCAACAACATTTGTAGATACATTTGTATACAAAACATTTTTCACTAACAATGGGATATCAAAATTATTACCATTGTGCCCTAAAAGTAGTTTTTTCTTGATGACAACCAAGAAGTCTTCCAAAGCGCTATGAAGATCAGAAGTCTGTAGTACCTCTCCTCTCTTCATCAAAGTATTGTTCTTCAAATGGATGCCATGCACCAAGGTAGCTTTTGTTGAAATGCTGCCAACAGTTTTATGAATCTCTGAAAAGTGTCATTCCCCCTGGTGGCACCAATTTCTATGATTTCACTTGTTAGACCTATGATAAAAAAATTGCATATGAATCTTTTTTTATTTTAGTTCAAATATATATATATAAACATTTTTTTTTTATAAATTTGTGTAACAAATACATGTGTATTTGTTATTGTAAACAGTTATTGTTTGAAAATAATTATGATAATAAATATGGTTATTTACCTAAACCTGTGGTCTCCAAATCAAAGAAAATCCAGGTATAATAATCCTTGGGTAGAGATGTTCTGGCTGGCAAGGGAAGTGGAGGAGGAATGGATTCAATGTCTTGACTCTTTTCTTCTTGATCCATTTCAACTGACGTTGCATAAGTTGTTCCTTCTCTCACTTCTTTACTTTCCTGATCCTGTGAGGATGACTTTTTTAGATGAAACTTTCTTTTCTTATATGCAGAACTTGTATATCTCTCCTTTTCTAGAGCTCTTTTTCTGTCCATTCTTTCTACCACTTTTTGTGTTTGTGAATCAGGTGAAAGACTCAGCTCTTTATTGACCTGAAAATACAAATACACAAAATTTTACAGTACATACAATTTTATATGGCATCATGCATAAAAAGTTAAGTTTTATCATTAATACATGTTCAACTTACCTCTGTCACATAACTTTTCCCAACATTTTTCTGGGCCACTGCTGCTGCAACTCTGAAGCAAGTACTTTCAGAACCTGAGAGATAAAGTGTTTTTGGATGTTTGTAAGCAACACAGTTGTTGAAACTTTCACATGCTTGTGTGGAACCTAAATTTGACACTTTCTGAACTTGTTGAACATACGTTGACATGATGTTTTCCAAATCTACCCTTAGTTCTTCAGATGTCAAATATCGACTATAGGGCAAGTTTTTTGGAACATAGGTGTCAGGATTCCTGCGATGTTTACACCAGGTTCTGCACTCTGAGTGGTCTCCATACACATGTGGCACAATGGCTCCTAAAGATTTCCTCATTTCCTCTGGGTTCTTCTGGTGTTGTGCAAGGGCATATGAGAAACACTTTTTCAAATGGGCAATTGTTTTTCCTCTTAGTTGTGAATATTTCTTTGCTCTTTGTAGGTCATAGAGTTTGTTGGTAAATGTTTTCTTTATATGATTTCTGTCACTGTATTTTGTCAGATCTTCACCACACACTTTCTTTGCTCTTGCTATGGTGGTACTATCTTCATCCATAACTAACTCACTAACACTGATGTTGTTGTCTTTCATGCCCTTGATCATGCCAACAATCATGTCCGGTTCCATTGACTTTGCTGATCCATCCCAATTTTTTCTGCAAAAATTTTCATTTTATATTTTATTGTATTTTTTACTAATATGATCCAACTTTTACCACAGAAGCTTCCTATTTTTTTTTACAAGTTTTTACCAACCAAATGCTACCAAAAGAAAAGAAAACAATATAATAATGGGGTGTGCAAAAAGTTACAAAGGATAAAAATATCCTATTAGAAAATAAATTTAGCTTTACTAACCTACAGTCATGCTCTGCAGGAGTAGTTCCCTTTTTCTCAGCATTATAACATATTCGACATTTCCTGCATCGTACATCATACTGCAGTACTTTGCCTGTTTTATCTCCAATCAATACACTGTGACCTGTATTATAAGAAGACTTGTATGCTTCTCCAAAGATTAATTTATTTCAAGAAAGGTGATATATTATAGATATATATATATATAACTGTACTTTACCAAAAGTTAGACAAAATAAATATATTAGAAAGATCTATCCATCATTAATATTCTTTTTAAATTATCAAATATAAATTAAACATAATTCTTGTACAAAATAAAACACATTTTACCTGAAAAACTGTTATATTTTCTGCCACTTGACCTTGTCTGCCAACCAGCATCAGCTGACACCCTAATGCCTCCACCGCTATACATATAATAAAAGTATATTCAAATTATAAGAAAGATAAATATAATTTTTATACCTAATAATTCCATCTAAAGGAATGCAAATAAAATATACATATTTTTGTGATGTAGCCGATAATATGTTATACATTATTTATAAATTACCCATCATTCCTATCAACCTCTTCCCTGCATGCTTCAGCGCATGTCTTTGAAGCTATTGTCTCTATAGCTTTTCCAGATTCTCTGTCTCTTTTCTTCAAAGTTGTGGAAGTAAGGCCAGGGATATTCAATACAGCCAGAAGTAAAAGTAGGGCTGAAAAACTTATCCCACTGCTGGTCACACCTAAAAAGAACATATGTGAATAATATAATATTAATATATATGCAGAATTGCAATAACTGTCCACTTGTTTAATAAGATTTAGAAAACTACATAGAAAGAAAACACAATTCTTATATCTCTTTGTTGACATTTTTGTACCTGCACCAAGTTTTGTGTTGATGTCCCATATACTTTTCCCGTGCATTTTCCCAGTAGGTATGCTCGTAACATGACCACAGTCTCCGTTTTTACACTAAAGCAAAGAATATGGAATGGAGAATATGAATTATTTGCATATTTTATAGTGTAGAACTTCCTTTAAATTTTGTAAGTGAAAGACCCAGTAGAATTGAAGATGGGTTTATCTTTGGTATTTAATTATATTACTATAAATATTTAAAAGATACAATTGAAAAACAAATATGTATAGTTTATACACATCAATATGATATCAATATAAACAAAGATAGTGCTTACAAGTATGTACAAGAGACTCCCAAGTCCGTAGTGCCTTTCTTGTACACAGTTTGACAACGGTAGTATGAAACCACATTTCTCGCATCCTTTCTGCAGATAAGATGCCAAAACTCCTAACTCTACCACTCTCTTACCCTCATTCCATTCAAGAAGATTCCTTTGTACATCATTGTGTAGTGGCTCTAAGAAATTTTCGTCGAAGTCGTCCTCGTTATCTAAATCTGAATAATCGTCATCAGACCATCCATCCTCCGCGGTGAAAGTGCGGGAATAATCATGATCAATGCTGAAAATAATAGTAAAATTCACAAAACTGTTTATAAATCACGATTTATCAGCGAATTTTTTTCACCCATTATAAACATTCAGTTTAAATTATTTTTAGGGATTCCTAATATATTTATAATCACTACCTTGGATGAACAGTAGACTCTTTCACCTCTGTTGCCTGTGTCACAGTTGCTGTGGTGTTATTGCGTTTATATCGGCCGTTTTTAAATCTTCTACTGACATTTCCCGCAATTTTGTCGGCCATCTTCAAGCTTCGATAGAAACTATGCGTTTTTATACCTTCATGTACTAGAGAGCGCAAAAGGGGATAACTGAAATTCTAAAATCACCGATATTAGCAGATATTTTTTTCCCGGAATACTCTCCATGGGCAGATCACTCTATTCCCAAAAAAATACTTTTAAACCGGAAGACTCTTCAGCGTGCAGTGTAGAGAGGTTTCTTAAAATCTTTCAAAATTCATTTCCCGATCATAACACAGAGCTATTAGCAGGTGTGATTGGTCGGTAAGGATGCTCACACCTCCATGGCACCTGATCCAACCTCTGATGTTTTGGATTTCCGTGTTTCCTCTGCTCCAGTTTTGTATTGTTTATGGAATTTGATTTTGAATACTGTTCGTTATTTCTATATGTTTCATTATACCCCCTGCTTCAAAACCGGAGTGTATTTAGTAATCGGGATGTCCGTCCGTCCGTGCGACGGTCTGTCTGTACGTGCACATGTTACGTTTTGGGGTACTCATATCTTATCCGCAACTCCTTTCATACTACTGATTGAAATTTGATGACACTTTCACAGATTCACATATTGCCATTGTGCACCTTCTATTTTACTTTTCGATCCAACACATATTTTGGGTTTCCCATAGCTAAACATGGACATTGCCATTATATACATATTTTGTCTTATTTCTATTTTATAGTTACTTCCCTTTCCCCGTCCGAGTTGTTTACATGTACGAGTATAAGCAAAACATGTATTTTACCATTATTTTCATATGGGAGGCGGGATATCATTTAGTGAGCTCAGTGCTGACAGGACCTTTAGTTATACATGTGTACATGTAAACAGAGTATATTCAAATTGAAATTATCAATTGCTAATAATATAAACAGCATAAATGACCTAAATCTATCAACATGTATTCAAAAATATTTACAGTAAAAAAGTTGAATTAATATACAATGTACAAGTACTAT